CTCTCTCTCTCTCTCTCTCTCTCTCTCTCTCTCTCTCTCTCTCTCTCTCTTCATTCTCATTAAACTCTCCCCTGAGCCACGATCCATTAATGTTTCCAGACGTAAATATAAATTGAAAGAATGCATCTATTGGCCTGAATTAAAAATATTTCATTTACTAATAGAACTAACAGTTTGTGTGCAGTTCAATATAAACTTTCTAAATTTTAATATAATATATTAACATTTAATTACGCACACACACAGACACTTTCCGCATTGCCAGAAAGCGCCAGCCATACAAAACAGTCGCTTCCGTCTCCCATGGCTACGCATAACTTTCGACGAACAGGCCGACTTGCTGCTGGGAACTGGAAAGTACAAAAACAGGGCCAGTTACAACGATAACAACATGGGCGAAAGTGTTGCCAGTACACGAAAACTTTTGCCAGGCAAAATTAAACGGGAGACTGGAGCGTGGGAGAGGGAGAGGGAGAGAGCTGGGGGGGAAGCGGCGGTCGTTGTGGTAGACTGTGGTATACGAAGTTGAGTGGTGCAACCACAGCTGTGGGCTGGCCCAGGCGGGTGGCCAACAGAATGCTCTTACAAAACCGCATCATTATCATGAGCGCAAGAAATAGAACAGCGCCTGCCAGGACGAAAAAGAAGTCGATGTGGATGTAACAGACTGCGAGGAGCTGCCACGGAGCAGGAAGTGTTTGGTTGCGGCCAGCCCAGGACAGCAATTTTGTGGGCATATCGCGCAGCTTGTTATATCAAGGCTGGCATAAAATTTAATAAGCGCTTTATTATATTATAACAGCAGCGAGAGCAGCACAGGCGAAAAGCAGCCACAGCACCAGGAGCAACAACAACAACAACAACAACAACAACTAGGACAATAACTACACGCAGTCTGGGAGCCATGAGCCATGAGCCAAAGTTCGTTGGCAAGCCAAACCGGACACTTGTTGAATCAGCTACAGCTCTTGTTCCACATGCCCCTCCCTCCCTCCCCTCCTCCCCTCGCTCCACCTCTCTTAAGCTGGCAAAAGTGTTAATTGTTTAAGGTAAACTTTGTGTAGCATAATTTCGGGCGTGCTCCGCTCAACTTTTGCCTGTTGGTGCTGAAAGTTTTTAGACCAACCACAACCGCCGCCCACTCGTTATAATTATACTATTAGATTTTTGGCAGATTTTTGGCGCGTTGAGCTGGCAAATTGGGTGGCGCATCAGCAAAAACTGCTAAACTCTAGCGGAAACTCGTTCGCTTTTTATACTCATTGAAAAAGGGGAAAATCAGGGTATAAGGGCTTTTTTGGAAATATATGTAACAAACAGATGGAATCGTGGCAGACCTCATAAAGTAAATATATTCCTGATCAGCACGAGCTAATCTAGCTATGTGTGTCTGCTCTTTCGGCCGCCTGCCCTTATAAACGTAACCATTTCCTAAGCCACTAAACCAAAAGATGAAATCTTAATATGAAACAGGTGTATGCCATACGCAGAAATAGCTTATCATTTGTATATTTATTTTTTATTCGCATACTCATGCAAATTTCCTACTTTCAAAAAATGGATACTTTGTTTTGATTTGTTAAGCCTCACCTAAATATCTCAAGAGCTGTAAATTTTTGCTTTTGCTGTTTAGTATATATCTTTGAATTTTGGCAGAATGAGAATTTGAATATAATATATTATAATATAATATACTATAATATATTATATACAAATTCTCATGCTGCAAAAAAAAAAAATAAAATAAAATAAAATAAACAAAAGTCGTTCAGCCTCGAGCTTCCTTTTATATTCGTGAATTGAGTGTTTGCCTGAGAATGTGAATATGAAAACTTTTTATTTTTTAATCACCTACCGACTCTCATTGTGCGAACGTCAATCTAATCTCTGCCTAAGCGATGCTCGACTAAATACGAATAGATTAAATCAAAGAAACCAATAGAAAACAAAAATTACAAGTCATCATGCCTCTTTCTCAAAAACTCAAATGTTATTAACAAGTTCAGATATAATATGCATAAATGAAGCACACTTTGATTGAAATATCAATTCCTTGCGGAACTCAGGGTATCTCTCAGTCTTGTCTATCATTTTGCTGACAATGCATTTGGAATACTATAAAGCGGTGCGACTGCTCTACGATTAACGTGGAGGATATTTGCATACGCTTCATTGGGTTTCAGTGCGGGGACAGTTGAATTATTGTCGGACAGTCGCAATCCACCTGCACCTCAGCCACGCGGCAGGCGACAAATTGTGCTTCACTCATTAATCATGCACGCCAAGTCTTACAGCAACAACATAAGCACATCCATCCAGCATCCATAACGAGATGCTTAATTAAATTGCATTAAGTTGGCTTTGGGGTTTTCGGTTCAGCGGGCAATTGTTTGTTAATGAAAGTGCCATAATTTATGCAGGCGCTGATTTTAATTCATTGCTGTGGCTTTAACATTTTGCAAATCCATTTTCCATTAAACACACGCAAAAGCAAACACACAAGCACACACACACACACACACACACTGCGGCTTGCAGGCTGGGAGGCATCTTCTCCTGGCGTGGCAATTATTGACAACGACTTGATGGCGTCACGCAATTTCCGTTGATGCGTGCCAATGCAATTATGAAAATTATGCGCCTGTATCCTGAGTGCGCCGCCTGCACTGACGTCCTAGCTGCCGTCTCCTGTCTGCTGTCTCCCGTCTCCTGTCTCCTGTCGGCTTCACAAATCAGTCAGGCGCACTGATAATGTCAGGCGTAGTGGCTTAGCAGAGCGCAAAAAAAAGATATAAGAGAATGCACAGCCTGATTATGGCGCAAACCAAACCAAAACCATTCTTCAGATGACATCTGATGAAGGCTGTTGATGCGGCTTTTGTGCGTCAAGTTGTAGTTGACTTGAGCCTGTAAGCAGTGAGAGATAGACAGAGAGTGAGTGAGAGAGAGAGAGTCGAAGAGAGATGGCAATGGATGGCAAGCGCCAAGTGGGTATAGAGGATATGTATCTCTGTGACTGTACGTATGTATGTATATATTACTTGGCAAGTGAGCTTCAATTTCAATGGCATTTAAGTGTGCCGTCATCGTCGTTGTAGTTGTTGTTCTCCTCTGTCGTCTGTCCTCTGTCCTCTGTCCTCTGTCCTCTGTCTCCCGTCCTCTGTCGTCTGTCGTCCTACGGCTGTTGCATTTGACACATAAGTGGTCTTTAATGATATCAAACTTCATGCGTTGCTTTCATTGCTATAACTGTTGGCTCCTCTTCTGTTCTCGACTTCTACTAACCGCACCGCACCGCACCGCATCGGCCCGCCCCTACCAGCCCCCCTAGTTAGCATGTCAAACTTTCCATACTGCTGCTGTCACTGACTCCTTTCATTCGCAGTCTTTGTACATGAAGAGATAAAGAGCCCCAGACAAGCAGGAAAAGGATTTGAGTTTATGTAGGCGGCCCATCATCCTCATAATGCTCATCGAAATAATTTCCAGTTGCGCTTACATTTGATGAAGTGTTTGCGATTTATTAAACACACGGCTCCCCAAGGCAAGAGTCAATTTATGACTGGAGTCAGTGCTGTTCACACCTCCTCCTGCTCCCCCCATGGATATATTAAATCATATTATATTATCGCAATTATTATTCTCTCATGGCTAATCCGTTATTTGCCTTAAAGTCGGTAAATTTCCACGTCTACAATCTGAAAGTTTCAGGCAATTATTGTGTTCAAACTTTTCATGTAACGTAAGGGGTATGCCACTACGGAATACCCTGTGTGCCGAATAAATCTATAAATTTTGCAGTAAATTAGTTTAGTTCTCTGATAATGATAGCTCTGATTTTCCACTCGGCATGCGGAACTAGCCCAAATGCGAGATGCTCCATTGTGATGGCCGCTAAAAGTCGTAGACCTTAATGCGGTTTGCGGCCAGTGGGCAACAGCTGCCGGCGACCCTTGTGAATTTGAAAAGTGCTTAGCCATGACAAAACCTTTTTTCCACTTAAAGGCCACTCGGCTAGAGCTAGAGAGTGGGCGGTGGTGTGGGGGATGGGATGCGGGTGGTGTGTGTCAGTTCGCGCCCAAGCCGCATTATTTCCAAGCGCCTGGCCAGCAGCTACATTCAATGGCAGTTTTATGCGCGTCCGTCTCGAGCTTTCGCTGCGCGCCTTTTCAATAATGAAAAAATGTACGAGCGCTGAATTTTCAAATGATATAAACGTGGACGACAGGCGGCGAGGCGGCGAGGCGGCGAAGCGGGGCCGAGCTTAGTCAAGGCAGGCGGGCCCAGAGAACTACGACAGTCGCAAAGGAAATGGGGAAAAGCAAAGTTTGGAAAGTGGACGTCGAAGTGGAAAAGGCAAATTAAATTATTTCTCATGAAAATGCGGCCATGGCACGGCAAGGCGAACTCGACTAAATTGAAAAGCGTTGACGGAAATAAAACTAAAATGCGTTGCGCGTGGAAAATTACAATTAAATTGACTTTAGCGACGATGCGATAAAAGTAAATTAGCATAACTTGAGGAACAGCCAATCGAATTGTCTCAATGTAATGCATACATATACATATATATTTGTATATATATGTGTGTGTGTGTATTCCCATATCCCTTCTTTGCGTCACTTGTACCTGCCTGCTTATCCCGCTCCTGCCCAGCTCAACTGGCTTTTGTTATTAATGCCACTTGGCAGCTTTGCCTGTCCACTTCAGGTGAAGTGGCCGCTGCACCTGCGCCGAGTTACTGCAGATGCCACCGCGCCCACTCCAGGCGCACCCGCTACTTGTCGCTGCAGTGCGTCTTATATTTCTGTGAGCATAATAAAGTGCAGCAGTCAACCCGGCTGGCAGACAAGCAGCCCGAGTCGAGGGTTTCGGGCCAGCAACAAAGCGTAAAATGTGAATAGACTTCATGACTGCAGCTGGACTATGAAAAAGTTCAAGTTGGGCGCGTGTCGGGCATGCAAAAAACAAAAACAAAAAAACAAAAATGAAAAAAGGAATAAAGAAAAACAAACAAGCAAAAACAAAAGCAGCAAGCGTGTCCTGACTGGATAATTGAAAGCAACTTTGCGACTTCGCCCGCATGAAATTGGCTACAGCTTTTCTCCTCTCTCTTTCCCTCCCTTTCTCCCTTTTTCTTCGCTTTATTATTTGCTACCATTGTTGTTGCTGTTGCTGCTAGCATTGTCTTTGCTACATATAGTAGTTGCTCCACACGGAAATTGAAATGTCAAGTGCGCTGTCATGTGTGAGCAAACGGAGCCGAGGCTCTCAGGTGCGGCGCGTCGACATTCGGGCCAAACTGCATTTAATGGCTTCGGCTGGCAACCCGCTCTCGCATCAGCTGACGCCACTATAATAATGGCCTTAATTGCCAGCAGAGCCCAAAACAAAAGGCCAAAGACAATATTCATTAAGCAGAACTTTTAAGCGTTCACCTTGCGCCTACAATGTACGCCCGCCCGTTCCGCCGGCAGCCAATGATCCTGGCCGCACGCCGGAGAGTCGCGCCTGAAATGCTGTTTGCCTAATGGAAAATACGTGCTTCTGCATAATTGGATTTTTTGATTTCGGTCGCATTCCAGCAGTTAAGAACCACAGCATGCCATTGGATGATGTAAAATGCTTTCCAATGGCTTCACAAATTGCGTTCAATGTCATATACGGATCTGTGGGGACTTACAGTATAGGTAAACAACAAACACTTGGCCTGTTGGCAGCTAAAGATCAGCTTCATTTACTTTGTGATAGTTGAAGAACTGAGGTAAGGAATTACAATTCAATCAGTATTAATAAAGACATTCACGAGGTGACAAGGGCATATTAGATTGGCCGGATTACTCTTTAGACATCTATTCATATGAACAGCTATTGGCAAAAAACGTTTGCGACTGAAGCAAATGGCTTGAAATGTTTAATATATGGTCCTCATCTAAAGGTATAAAACTGTCCCATGAAACTAAATTTATATACATATGTATATTAAATGAGAGTTAATTTCAAGTGGAAAGCCCAAGATAAAAATATATCTTGAATTTGGGACAGTTAAGTTAATTCCATCCTAGCTCGATATTCCAATATTCCACCTAGGACTTCGTCAATTTCGTAGAAAACATGTTGGCGAAAACAAACCAGAATAACAGCTTGATGTTCTTTTTGGAAAAAACCATGAATATACGATTTTTTGATAGTAAAAGATTGGCATTTGTACTGGAAATTTGCGACTCAAGTCGATTTTTATATAAAATGAAGATCGAAACCTTTAATAGTATACACAGTGGGGATTGCTTTAGATATGGCCTACGACATCTGTTGGATGTACTTGCCATTTGACACAGGGCAAACATGATAAATACCCGAGTGGAAGAAACAGGGAAAATAAAGGTGACAATTTCGAGTATATAAAATATATATGTGGCAGCTGAGTTGTGCTCTTTCGTTTCGCACTTATTTCTATTAAATGTCGCCGGGACACATGTTGGTTAGAGTTTATTGCAATTTACTGACTCGGCACGTGACAAACGAGCCGCACGTTTCGCTCATTGTACGCGACAAACGACAAAGAGACTGACGCACACAGATCACACATACGCAGCGTTGCCCTCGCCTTACCCACAGCAGTTGGACATTTATCGTGACGTTATTTATGGCTCACCAGCAAGCTCACGCGATGTTGCCAATTTTTTGTCTCGTCTTAATAACAATGCATTAATTTGGTGAACAAGCTTAGAGTGCCAAAAAAAAAAAAAAATATAATAATATTACAGAAAAGGGGCGAAGTCCAGCATCGATTGAAAAGTGCAAATAAATCATAAAATGGATTATGATATGACTAAACATATTGACGTGGTCTGAGCTGCCATACAAGGACAGTCCATGTTGTAAGATTACTTGACAGCTTCTCGATTTGTTTTCTCTTGTTTGAACAACCAACTGCAGACCAGGACGAAGCAACACACACGCACACACACACTCTTGTACATACATATATGTATGTATATAATCAAATCAGAGCAGAGGCATTGTTAGGCATACTTATGATAAGGTAAATATGACAGCCTGTTTGCCTTCCTGTTGCTGTTTGCTTTTCATAGGGCCCAGTCCGCATGGATAGTTGTGCTGCCTCGTCCTGATGGCCGAATATGCTTACTACAAATTTAAACACAAATATTATCAAATATTATACAGTACAGATGCTGGCTGTAGATGTAAATATCTGAAGGTATTTTGATTACTTCTCTCTACAAATTTAATTTGACAACTGCTCTTAGAGAATTCAATGCGGTTAATTACATCTATAAGAGTATATACCTATAAACGAGCATATTCTTAGTGGATAAAATCAATCTAAAGACTTTTTTCTGCATTAGCTTACACAAATAGTCAGCTCTGATTTTCATACACAAAGTGAGGCTATTTCCAAAAGTTTATTTAACTGCTAATTGGCTGTGTTTAGGCTTAGAATATTAAGTTATCATGCAATGTGTAAGTAATTCAAGTTTCAAATGAAAATTGTTTAATGTAAGTCACTTATCGCTTATGTGTCCAATGTCGTTATCGTCTTTCATGTGGTAATTAAAAAAAACTTGTGACAAAATTAACCATCTTAATTATTCGATTGGCATTGAAGGATAACGAAGGAGGTTAGGATCTACATAAAAAATAGGAATGAACAATTAACAATTTTACGTTGGCTTAAATAATATATAATATAAAATATAATATATTTAAAGTTAAATAAATAAAACATTTAAAATTAATTACTGTTAAATCAAAATGGCCAAGGGATCAGTTTTATTTTCGATTTACACAGAAATTCAAACTATCGAGAATTATCGAGAACACATTTTTTTCTAGGGAATAGAATTTTTCGATTTACTGCGATTTATGATTTAGCGGTATACAAATTACCGAGACTCAACTATATGTACATATATGCACATGTAATACATTTAAAGTTAAGAAAGGTGGTATTTATGCACTGGTAATTGCAATCATCTATTTAAAAAAAGAATCAAACATATTTAGCCTTAACCTTTAAGCAGTTAAGCCTTTCATGCAATGAGTCACCAAATTTGGCTAATTATTCTAACAACTCAACTAGCTGAAAGGAAAACGTCGCTTTGCAGTCAGCTCATTAGGGCACATGAGTATTACAAATGCCCAAAATCAAGCAGAACTTTCACTACTTATTTATTGGTTAAGCCAATTGCTGGCTTTAGTTGAACAAGTGCAATGTTGGCCAAAAGGTGGCTCGCTTTGGTGGCTCTCTGTCTGCCCGCCTCGGTGCTCGCCGATAGCAATGCATTTTACAATTTGAGCTTTGTTCAGGACTTGACACACAATTTGCATTTACGGCATAGATTCAATGGCTTGATTACCTTTTCGGACAACCGCAAGCTGGTGAAGCCATTGGTGGAGAGCCACTATTTCGTCTCACTGGAACGATTCCTGGCAGTGACTCTGAGACTGCCGCTCATCATATATGGCCTGCAGAAGAGCATTCCCGAGCCGGGGATCATAGCGCGGAAGACTTTTGTCTTCTGCACGGTGCGCAACCTGAGGGTAGAGCAGGAGCCCATGTTCAAGGTTGTCCATAAGATGCTGGATGGTCGTCACGATCTGCGCATTCTCTTCATTCTCAACCCTGGGAAACAGCACAAGCCCTCAATGGAGGAGATAGATGCATTCTTCCGTTGGTGCTGGCGCCATCATTTTATCAATGTCGGCCTAACTTATCAGCGGATTGAACAGAATGGCAATGACAACTTTACAACGTATGACCAGCTCTTCAGCTATACGCCCTTTCCCAAGGTCAGCATTCAGAATGTGACCCACATTGGCGTTGCTTTCAAATGGGAGGAAGTAGACGTCAACGATGTGCAAGGCTATGAATTTCGTGTGCCCGTCTTTCAGGACTATGCATACGCATTCCTGGTAAGTGAGCCGCAACATCGCTATGGAATCATATCTAATATTATGATTGCATTATCAGCTGCCAAATGGTGAGCTTTATGGCATCATTGGCAAGCTCGTGGCCGGCTTCATAGAGAATTGCAACGGTACTCTGCGCGTGGAGCGAACACCTGATGTGAACAGGTTCAATTACCACAATCGCACGTTGACCTGGCCAGCTCGCGGCATTATCGACATCGGCGTACATCCGTTTACGCAGCTCATACAGAAGTCTGGCGAGGCCGAAGGCATTATAATCATGTCTCCAACGAAAACTTGCCTCATGGTGCCCGTCCTGATTCCCCGTCCGCTAGACAGATTTGTGGGCTTCGTTGCCCGTAACAATGGAGTTTTATTGGTGGTTATATTACCATTCCTGATGCTTGGATGGCAGCTGCTTGCCCGCAATTGCTCCAAAGGATTCTTTCTGGCCTTTGCCCTTTTCAACATGCAGCCGGTGAACGAGAATCTATTCAGACGCTTCACCAATGCCTACAAAATGGTGCATGTGGCCATTCTGCTCAGCTTCTTCATACTCTGGAACGACAGGACTGGAGCTCTAACGCGGGCAATCAGCCTGAATAGCATGCCACAGCAGATTCATACTGTTGCGGACTTCTTACGGAGTCCCCTGCGCATCATGGTAACTAAAGCCGAAGTCGAAATGTACTTCAAAAACGAATTGCTACCGAAAGCCCTGCAGCCACGCCTCCTCGTCGTCAATTCGTCCACTCTGATAAAGCACCGGGATAACCTAAATACCAGCTTCGCCTACTGCGCCAGCGACGGAGCCTGGAATATTGCCTCATTCCAGCAGTCTCGACTTAATCCTCCGCTGTTTCAACGGCTGAGCCGAAATTTCTGCACTTCGCCAACCATTCGACATATTCCCATGGGTCGAAACTCGCCGTTTAGGGACAACTTTTTTCGGTTCTACATGCACAGCCGACTGACTGGAGTCTACAACAAATGGAAATCGTTGAGTTTTAGGAAAGCAGCGCATGCCGGATTTATTCAGGTCATTCCGGAGGATAGCTCGTTTGTCAGCATGAATCTGCAGGACTATATGGTATTTATAAAGGGCTATTGGATATGCATTGGCATCTGTGTCTTGTGCCTGGTTTGCGAGATCATTTGGAAGAATCGCGTACATCTAAGACTTCATTGGTAGCCTTGATCACGTGTGTATACCTAACCAACGTACTTGAAGCTTGAAGAGATTCATTTTTTAGGTGATGATGATGATGAATGTATAGTTATTATATTCTGTTTGTCTTCTGACTGAATGTTGCTCAGGAAAATTTTATATTGAATTGAACTTGCAAGTTGATTGCGGAAAAAATATGAAGTAGTTGTGGATCAAGAGATCTAAATAAGTATGAATTTTTCCAACTTTCCAACAACTCATTATTTTTCTGCACTTGAAAGCTGTATTTAACAGAAGCCAGCTATAACGACTCTCATGGGACCGTCATTATACTAGAAAGACTCAAGAACCATATAAGTTTCCTCATACAAATTTGTCTGGGCATCAGAAATTTCGTCTCAATATGCAGAGTCGCTCTATTCAGATTCTACTTTATTCAATGTTATTTATTTTAGTTAACACAGCAACCTAACATGTGCATAAAAATTTCACTTGCTAACATTAACTAAAAAATCAAATGACTTACCGAATCATCATAATAATTACAGCTTAAATTATAATATAATTGATATTATATTTTTTCCCTTTTCAGTACTAACAAGTAAGTCCTAAAGCAATTGTAATTAACAACATTATTATAATTTATGCCCATACTAATCACATTACATCACGACAATTTATCAACATAATTGGGCAGTTTATTCCATTGAGAAATGATTTGAATTTAAGTGTTGCTTGTTATATTTATGTAAATGCTCAACTTTTCATAAATCTGACAATGACAAAAATTGTGTTCTCGACTTTCATTGCGTTTGCTTTCCGGGTTCCGATGGATTACGGACTAAAAATGAAGCGAATCAACCGTGAGGACAGTATTTCATACTAAATTGAATAAGTTTCTTTGACCTCCGTTGTTTTGTGGGTATACAGAAATCACAAACACGCACACGCAAACACACACACACAGACACACAGTTAAAAGCTTTCACTAGGCATTCTGAAACGTTTGCTCGATGACAAATAACTGCTTAGGTTGCTTCACTGCACAACACAGTTTTATACACTTAGACACAGACAGAAGCAGACACACACACACACACACACTCAATCACATTGGACAGTCGGCGCACAGCGTCCTGGCTGAGCAACAATGTGTCTTCGTTTCCGTCATGGCTGCTATTTCCGGCTAACGAATTTTAGGGAGCTGCTCACGTGCCCATTTATAAAAAGAAATGAAGCCGAGTGCGCTCTGAGCTCAGCATGGACTGACTGCAGGATGTTCTATAAATATAATCTTATATAAAATAAAATAAAGGTAATTATCTATATAGAGTGTAACAGAAATTGTAATTATAATTTCAAATGGGAAAAAACTCTAACATATAGCATAACATATTGAGTGTGGGATGAAACTCTTCGAGTCTTTCTAAAGGCTGCAGGGTATATGGAGAAAGTCTTGCAAATGCCATCAGGCATGTGGAACTATCTGAATGCTAACACACACACACATTGCCGTTGTGTGAGTAAGTAAATTGATTGAAATGGCTAGCGGCTAATGCCTCGGGCTCACACACAGCCCAGCGGAAGAGTCAGAATTCTGCTGGCGCTTCGTTTCATTTAGACAGAATCTCTCGAGGTCATTTTCAGCCTCTCTTTGTATGATTTTGTGTGTGTTTTTTTCCTTCCCATTCTTTATTTTTTTTTTTTTTTTTTGGTCTCACAGTTTATTGCTTGTGCTGATTGTCGGTTCGCTTTGTTGGCATTTTTTCTACAATAAAAAGAAGAGAATGTACGTACGTATATATATTGTCCTGCTTTGACTTCCGTTTTGCCTTCGACCGCTGTCCAATTTTCATTATTGCCCTGGCCGCCCTTTGTTGTTGCCATTTTGTTTCCGTCTGGCTACTAAATGGCATCATTATCATCTCGGCTCACCCGCAGCGAGGATAGACAGCGGGCCCGGCTCCGTTCCCGATTCCGGATTACTTACACACATCCAACTATTTGACTGCTTAATTTGTTTGCTATTTATGAGCTTTGATTCCAGTTGTTGTTGTTGTTGTTGTCGTTGTTGTTGCTTCGTATTTCTTACAAACAATTTGCCAAATTAATTGAGTTTGCTTTGTCAAATTTATGCCAACTGCAAGAGCCAACAACAAGGCCTAATTAGCCAAGGACCGCCTTGGCCGTGGCTTCGACATCGGTCAGATCCGCTCGGCTGTATTTTATGGATAAGCTACAAAATAAACAACAACAAAAATTATGTTAAAACTTTGCCCGACGCTGACGCTGACGCAGACGTCGCCGCCTCCAACTGGCAGCGACTGTGGAAGCAACGGAAAACTCAATTGGAAAGTTTGTTGTTCATTTCCGAACGCTGGGGCGCTGGGGAGGGGGCGTACTGCAGCCGGATGCGGGAGGTGTCGACCGGCTGGGAAATGCATTTGAATCTAATATTGCGTTCGCAGTTCCGTTTTCCACATGGCCCCGGACAAAGTTCGAGTTCGCGGCACGCCCACGCCCACGCCCACGCCCACTGACAGTTTCAACCATTGGCCCCAACGCAGCTGCTGCTCGCGCTAACTGGGCTAAAACTGCGACTGGCTACAATTACATAGTTGCAGCCAAGTTGTTGTTGTTGTTGTTGTTGTTGCTGCTGCCTTTGCTGTTGCTGCTCCGCATAAATTAAGTTTGTGTCTTTTTATTCGCTTTTAATTCACATTTTATGCAGTCCCTGGCCGACAACGCTGTCTGCCCTGTTGGCGCATCGTCGACGTCATTTAGTGCGTTGTCGCCGCTTTGTTAATTCAAAAACTTTTAATAACTTTACTTTCGCAGCAACAGGCGCGCAACAAGTGTGCCGGCTGCAGCTGTGCATGGAAATAGACTTTATCATAATTTTATTTGTACAGAGTATTTAGTTAGCATGCAGTTTGTGTGCTTTGAGCGCGAATGCCTCAGATCAACTTTGAAATAATCACTTGGCCAGCTCTCTAATTCGATTGCAGCAGCCGCTAAACGTTAAACAGCATTGAAGAGACTGAAAAAATGAAATGTCAGTCTGTCTGTAGTCCAAAATTAAATAATCTTCAGAGTCAATGAAACTGCTTGAGTATGGAGCAGGCGTACAGGCTGATCCATAAATGCCAGCAGCTGACCACAGTTCTGTTGCTATTGGTCTTGTCCTTGGTCTCGACAGCCACTCAAGCTAATTCAATGTGAGGTCTACACACACACACGCACACATACTTATTATATAAATGGGCATAGTGTGGCAGCGACATGAGAGTGGCAACAAACACGGCACTTGAAAAACTCACACGGCGCAAGTGGAGCGTATGCTGAAGCGAAGGAGGGCAGGAGCTAGCCACTTACGTAGCTCGCGTCACGTGGTTGCATATTGTTGTTATTGTCGCCACTTTTATTGGAGCTCGTAATTTGTTAAGGCTAGGGCAATAACAACTTGTCTCTGACAGCTGCCCCAGCGAGTTCATTGCCATACAACAGCCGTTGAATGCAAACACATAGAACATGCATATAGTACATGCATATAGTACATGCTGCTGCTATATTCGTTCGATATGTCGAACGGGTCAAAAGGCTCGTAAAATGCTCATTGATGGCAAGTTGATTGCCGTCAACTCTGTTTGATAATTAGTCGCGCGGGCACACACAATGCGAGTCCAGCTTCATAATTCAAATTTGACGGAACGATGGGACGAGCATTTGAAGCGGTCTAATACAAATTTATAGCATTGTGCTTCACTCAGTGGCTCAGTGGTTCAGTGGCTCAATGGTGGTGCAGCGGTTGACTGGCGGCCAACTAGCTGGCGACAGGGCAGTTGGCGGCCCAAGCTTCGTTACCATTGCAAATTGCACAATTTACAACGTCAGCAACAACTCGGGCACTGGGCAGCACATAAAGCACATCATGAGGCAATATATTAGCAGACCAAGTGCTCAGTTTCCGTCAGCAAACGACCATTGGTGTCCAGTGGGCGTGGCGTGGCCAGTGGCTTAGCAAGTCGACACACGGACGGCGGCGGGGCGAAAGACTAACAGTAATTCAGTTGCTCGGGCCAACGGATTTTCTTAAATAGAAATATATGAAAATGTTACATAACGTGAAAATACAATGCACTTGCATATACATAAATATATATACTCTGTAAATACCTTGTAAAATATGTTAGTATATAATGTAAGCTCACTGCACGCTTTTATATTATGATTTAATAATATGGGAGTAAGCAAGTCTGAGGTCGCTTCATAACACGGTTTAAGAGACAGTGGAAGGAGAAACTCTAGAAAATCGTGCTTTTGGGTACTCGCAAAATCTCAACATATGTATGTATATACATATGCCAGCATAAATGAAAACATAAATGTTAGTCAACAATAAATATCATCAGAAGAGCTCGTTCTGATTATGTATTTGACGAGCTAGCATGAGCTAGCTTAGGTTGCTGAGTTCAAGAAAATAGCAGTAGTAGCATTTGAAAAGTAGCTGAAGTTGTAGTAGCATAATAATCGAATTAGTAGTAGCAATACGAGATTTAATACTAAAATGAATAATAGAAGTACTAACTAAAGTAGTAGTAGAAGGTGTAATAGTAGAATTAGGAGTAGCAATTGGTAGTTAAAATAATATAAAATAATAATAAATAAATAAAAGAGGAATTCGTGATGCAAGCTAACATTTCTATTATTATAATTGTATTACCTACTACTAATAGCCATTAAATTAGTAATAAAAGTAATCATCTACTACTTATAGCCATATGATTAGTAGTAAAAGTAAAAATATCAGAAGTAGTAGAATTATTAATTGAAGTAGTAGAATTATAGCAGAATTAGCAGTAGTAGTAGCAGAAACAGCAATAAAAGTAGTAGTAGCCAGTAGACCTATGTAATTTCTAGAAATATTTGGAAATTAAATTACTGGGGCTTACGTTTGTTCATGGTTTTTGTATATTCCTTACATATGTAGCTAAGGAAGCTTATTCCGTACATGTGCGCTTACATTTTTATACAACACGTATGATATTTAAAATTTGCAGAAACCTTTACGCTTAAGCCTAAAAGATATACTGAATTCCGCCTTGTCAAACCACTATCTAAATGGCAATACTTATGAGTACTTTTTGTGTTCAGAATATACACAGATGAATAGCAGGACATTACTTAATTTGAAGATGCTCGTATCACATCGTTAGCGAGCATAAATATATTCATTGTATTATCGCATGAAAATAACCTTTTAGAAAATACATATTTATTATCCATAATATTTACCTTTGCATTTATTTGATGCAGCTTCGCTTTGTTTCATTTGATATCATCTATATACGGGCATTTACATCAAGTGGACTTCTTTATGGGTAAGTAAGGCGGCAGACGCAGCTGATGCTGATTTGATTATGCATTAATCAAAGCAAAAGCAACAAATGCACCTACGCAGAGAGATTCGTACATTGGGGCTTTAGCTACTTTTGCATGTCCTCCGCATATTAAGTAGATGTTTTATCGTTTACTGCGCAGGCAAACAGATATAAGCGTATATTGCTTACATAATTTAACACACATTTTCATTCATGTCTATCGGGTATTCGGTCGGCCGTCGTCATCCGGCCTGGTCAAGTCCACGGCTCGTGGCCTTACACATGGCTGCACACATGCTCCGCCAATGAGGCATGTTTAATGATTATTGCATTTCTTATTTTTATTTATATTTATCTTGGAGTTGGCCGTGGGCGCATACAAATTTCGCTCACCGCCGCAGGCAGGTCCATACCCTGTATTATGACCATTAATGCAAAGAGCTTAAGCAGTGATAATAAATTCTGTAAGAATATTAGAGTTAATCAGGCAATATGATCTTAGGGAATTCATATTATTATTTTACATTTAGTAATCCTTATAATTTCTATAATTCGGGGAAGAAAAGAGTGGATCCATTGAAAATGATAGCTAAAAATTAACTAAGGGACAGCAGCACTCATAGCCGATCCTCTGAAATGTACTACATACTCTTGATTATGGTCCCATGGGCATCTCTTTATGCTTGAGCTCCACAATCTTGGGATATATTATATTTGCGCGGTTAAAATTATACACATAAGTATCTCCTGTAGATCGCGCTCGGCTGCCTAAATACGTTTTCTTGAATATCAATATGACATCAACAGAAATTATTATTAAACGATCGTAAATAACATGTTTAAGACTGAGACTCATTATAAATACCAATAGCCTATATATGAGGGTATATCCTAGTCTAGCACGCCCCGCTACACTGCGCCCACCTCATATGTTTATTGTGTGTGCCCCCGTTGTCTTGACCACTGTTTTTATGGCCCTTAAGGAGTCAGAGAACATTTATTGTAGCTATATGTAGTTGTTGTTATTGCTGTTGCTCCATTTGTTTTCTTTTTGGGCATTCAAGAGACAATGGGCATATTTTCGCAATATAAGCGGCTTAGCTCGAGTCGCGGGAGTTATGTTACATAGTGGCCTAAGCAGCAGCCGTATTTATGGCCATCTAATGCTCTGCTGCCATTTGTTGTGCACTTAAGCCAACACAACGTCCACATGTGGTATGTGCTGCATGTGTACATATGCTGACCGCCTCTAAAATTGATGGGCTCATCATCTGTGGTCCAGTTTTGTGGCACAATGAACTCCCAGCATATAAGCTGCTTGACCCAACTGAGCGGCGTTGCAGCAGCTCCTCAGCAAATGAGCAAAAACTGCACAGCTTCCGCCTGCACATCGAAGTGAGTGCCGGAAATAGCCAGTGCAGCGGCATCTGGCATCTGACTCCGTCTGTCCGAACATGTCGCCAGCTTGGTGCCCACTTAAAATAAGGTCCAAGCAAAAAGTTTGCTCTCTTACACACATAGTATATTGCCTGCTCACTGAGCAGATTCCATTCCCAGCAAAGGACGTACATGAGCTGACAAGCTAACGCTGTTCTTAATAAACCTTCTTCTGTTTGGTCTCTTGTTTAGTTACGTTATGTAAGTATATGTATGTTACACTAATATGCTATTATAACTTCAATTCGAATACTCAATCGATCAACAGACGTATATTTTATGGTATGATTGAAATTACATACGGATCGAAGTTTCACAATATATGTTTATAATATTATTATAATATTTTGAAACTACATTGTAAAATGAAAATTCTGCTTGAGTTTATTCATTCTACTCAATCTTCTAATGATTGCCTGCTACTGTTGCAATTATATTAGACTCATGTGAAAGATATTTAAATATAGCTAGTCCAGAAAGCAGTCCCTCGTATTGCTCAGGAAGAGCGAGATTCCTACTTAGTGCATTCGGACAACATCGAATATAAAGACATCATTCGAAAAGTTAAGTATTTGCCGAAGCAGTAAAAATATAAAATAAAATTGAGAGCTGACAAAATGAATATGTTTATAAATGTAATTTTAAAAAAAAAATAATAATAATAATAATAAAATAATTATCCAATAAAGTGAAGCAATTTTAAGCAAATATATTTTTACAATTTTTGCCATTCAACAAATTTCTGATTTTTTGCTTCTTTTTATTATAATGAATTACACTTTATTTACTTTTAAGCCAAATTTCATTACCATGCAAAAATGTAATTATTCTAACTCAAGGTCGGCATGGATTCCTGATTTCACTCCCCATAATAATAATCAAAGCTTGCAATTATGTCAAATATGATAGTTTTATTAGAGTTATTTGGTTTGTTTCATATAGTTTAGCTTTAATGAGTTCATACACTTAATAGAGTATATACACTTCGTTGCATTTTTCTCAAATCTATGCAAGATATTTTCTTATACTTTTATGTTTTTATTTTTGCTTCGAATCGGCTTTAACTGTTCAAGTTCATGAAACGAAAAACAAAATTAGAAAAGTTGCATCTGGCAGCAGCAGCAGCGGCAGAAGGGAAAACTTTTTGCCATTGTCTGCGCTGACGTGGCCTGAACTTGAAATTTACGTTAGTTAAATTATCAACTTTGGCGGGGCGAAAGCTTGTCCGCAAACTTTGTGAGCAAAATGCATTCTTTTGACTTTTATTTTGAACGAACCTCAAATGTTATCCACAGGACCTCTTCGATTTGTGGTGCACTCTGTGGCGACTTTATTTGATATTAGTTGGTGTATGTGTGTGTGTGTACCTCCATTTATCACACACACACACCCATACACATGCACATTTAGCGGTGCTTTAGTGGGTCAGTGTGATTGGACTAAAGTCAGCCAACTAAGTTGAGAAAATATGTAATTGAATTGCATTGGAATTATTAGACAAGAGTCGATAGAGTTATCTTAATACAGCCTCAAGTTATAAATACAAGTTTCGAATTCTTAGTTGCATTGCATATTTTGTATACTTATATATTTTGTGTACTGTGTTGCTCTTTTTATTAATTTACAAACATAACCCGATCAATTTGTTACTCGTAATTTCATTTATCATTTATATAACTATATACTAGTTTATTATTTATGAATACATAACAAAACAATTTATCAAATAATTGAAATTTAAAAATTTTTATGCGTTATTGCCAATGTTTTCAGACTAACTTCCATGAGGGTTTCTTTACGGCGTTCATTTTACTTATTCATTTTGAAATTTTTCTTTGTGTTTTATTTTGGGTAAGCAGTGTCGGCAAATACTTTTCAAGCTGTGCACACAAGGTTCTATTTTGGTTATTCCTTGAGCTCTTCCCGGGCGTGGCGCATTGGATTGTGGAAGGTAAAGTTGGACTTGATCTTTAATATATATGAAACGCGACAGCTGCGGGCAGATCGGAAAGTTTCTAATTTAAAATAAACTATTTTAAATATATATATACGCATATACATATTCATATATAAATATAGAGGCTATTTAGTACTGATTGCTTACAATTTAAGTCTATTCCTGATTCAGGTTCTTGATCACGTAATTAACAATGAGTGCAAATATTGCAAAACAGATTATAATCACCAGGTTCGAATAGATCGACTGCCAATTTAAATAGGAATTACGTGTGTTGTTTTTGACAGCAGCAGCACCCCCATTGGCAGCATCCGCGCCAGCCGCTGCGGCAGCAGATCGCCCATCACTTGTGCTGGCATCCATTGGCAATGGTAGCTGCCCATTGGCACTTCGGGCATTTTTATTGTGGCTGTCATTCGGAACGGCACTGCCGTTGGCCAAGCCATTCGGTCGTGAAGAAGAGCTGGTGCCTGGTTTGCTCGCGCTGCCCGCTGCTTGAGTGCCCTGTAAGCGTAACTTTATCTCGCTGACAATATCCGGAAAGAGCTCGCAGAAGTTGGCGTTGCGTAGGTTAAATGCAAGCGATTTCTGGGCAAACATTTGCTTGTCATAGCTCGTCGACTCTATGGAGCCCAGAGTGGGTGTGCTCTCCAGCTGGAAAGTGAATAGAGAATTAACTGGCCAACAGGAGTGACTCAATGCAGTAGCCTTACCATAAAACTTAGCAGACCTGTCAGTATGGTACCCACGCACCATGTTGGATTCCATGTGTCTGGATGAAAGTCTAAGAGACAAAAACAGTTGGTATATGAGCAAATAATTATTTCTTTCAATGGCAGCAGTTACGAATACCTGAAATGCTTAAACACAGTCTGGTATTTGTTTTGAAGCGTCCATTCGGCGTTAGCATATAAATAGATGGTGGCTTGAATGGGAACTCCCGGGGAAATAGCAGTGTGCCGTGATAGTATCCTCCATAGTACGGCGAGTCCTCCGGCCCTTTAACACAATAGTGCCATTCCAAAATGTTATTGGGCAGCGGCTCGGCGGTGATGTATGGTAAAGGGTCGCGCTTCAAACGCATGTAATCCTGTTTCATGCGCGACACGGCAGTGGGTTGCTTGCGGGAAGCTGACCCGGACGCCGTCGACGAGGACATTTTCGATTAATAATTTTTGACCCGATAGCTGCTGCTTGAAATAAAACTATAGCAACAAATAATATATATTGACATTTATCACAAACGCACGCCAAATACTCAACATTCAACTATGCTGATAACAAATATGTTAGACTGTATATTTGTATGATTGTACACATAAACAAACGTATACGCACACACACACACACACACTCGCATCCACGACTGGAGAATGGACGTGCAAAAAACACACGTGGCAAATTGCATCGGGGGTGGCGAATTCCTTAAGCTTGACGGCCGTGCGAATTTCGCCCACACAAAAATGCAATATTCTATTTCCTGCTCAGCTTGATGAGCGCTCCAGCACACGGATTGCTAGCGCCGTGTGTATGTGCGTCGTAACTTTTGTCAGTTTTTTTTGTTTGTTTGTTTGGCTCACCCACCTCGCAAATTGTATTTCCTTGTTGTTGCTATCGTAATTGCAATTACAGCTAGGTCACAGCTGCCCAACGAAAATGTGTGAAAGCAACACAAGCACAGAGTATTAAGACAAGTTGCATCCGAGTTTGGTCTGTGCTATCCGAAACATTTACTTTATATGTTTAGTCTAATGTGCGATGTCAGCTTTGGCTTACTCTATCCCTTAATTACAATATAATTGAATGTAAATTTATTTGTAGCTCAGAAAGTTGCAATAAGTATTGTAGAAATTTCTCTTGACGTCGTTCTAAGTAAATAAAGTTGTAAAGCGACTGAAAACAGTGTTAGGCAATTTTGCTGGTTGCTTTTCGATATATTGTTGATATTTGGTATTTTATTCGTGCTGCCAACTTGGTATTAAATTTGAATGTCTATTTATATTGTTAAAATTCGAATAACGTATATTATTTAAATATTAGAATGAGTTCGATAAAAACTATCATTTCTATTCTCTTATGGCAAATGGAGCAGACAATGTATTTGGTTCTGCCTCTCAGCTGATAAAACGCTCTGCAATATCAATACGTAAACGAATACATTCATATAAGAGATAAGAGCGAATACGATTAAGCACTGTAGACTTTGGGTTTGAAGCATAGAGCTTTCAAAGGGTAAGGAGGGGCATTACGACGCACCACAAACAAGATTGCTTATCAGTGAGCTAGATTTAGCAATGGAACAGATCGACACCAAGCAGTCACTGCTTCGACAGAGGAGAGACCAGTCGCAGTCTTTTATACAAAATGGGATCTATAGGCAAAATCGGTTTTCTTGGAGGTGGCAATATGGCCAAAGCATTGGCCAAAGGCTTCATAGCCGCAGGTCTGACCAAGCCCAGCGGCATCATAGCCAGTGTCCATCCGGCAGACAAGATATCCCAGCAATCCTTTCAAGCACTAGGCATTGAAACACTCGTCGAGAACGCGCCCATTGTGAAGCAATCGGAGATTGTGTTTGTGTCTGTGAAGCCGCAAGTTGTGCCCCAAGTGCTGAAAGAGATCAAACCCATTAGCGCCAACAAGCTCTTCCTATCCGTGGCCATGGGCATCACACTGAAGACACTCGAGTCCAGTTTATCCCCACAATCGCGTGTTATCCGCGTCATGCCCAACACCCCAGCTCTGGTTCGGTCCGGCTGCTCGGTCTACGTGCGCGGTAGCCAAGCAAACGATGCAGATGCCGAAGTCACCCAACGCCTACTCGAGGCTGTTGGCACTTGCGAGCCCTGCGACGAGTCGCAGCTAGACGCCGTCACCGCACTGAGCGGCAGCGGCCCAGCCTATGTCTATGTCATGATTGAAGCCCTGGCCGACGGCGCTGTGCACATGGGCATGCCCAGAGACTTGGCCTATCGCCTGGCGGCACAGACAGTGCTGGGCGCCGGTCATATGGTACGCGATTCCCAGACACATCCCGGCCAGCTGAAGGACAACGTAACCAGTCCAGCCGGTTCAACTGCAGCAGCATTAAGGCACCTCGAGCAGTCAGGTGCGTAAATGAAATAATCAATGAAATGACGTTGATGCTAATAAAGAGACGTCTCTTATCTCTGGACTTTGCAGGTTTCCGTGCGGCTGTGGCTGGCGCGGTAGAGGCGGCGACGCTGCGCTGCTGGCAGATTTCGAGCAAGCAGACCTAGACCCTGGACACATTAAAATATGTTTTGACTTTTGTTTTTATAATTATTAAAAAATAACATCATTTGCGTCTGCACTTTTTATAAAGAATTGGAGCTTAGAACTTTTTACGTTTCTTGGCGCGAGCCAATTCATTGAGTTCGCCCTGCTGCACGGAGGCCTCTTGGTAGATGCGTTTAACCTTTTCGCGACGTTCGTTATCGCTGCAATGGAAAATTTACGAAAATCAGCAAAGGAACTTTTGTCAAACGAAAATATGTGCGTTCACTCACCTTTGTATCTGTTGCTTGAGTTTGAGATCTTGCACGAAGGCCGTGTCTCTGCGGATCTCCCGAATGGCGCCCTTCTTCTCGCGCTTAATCTTGTGCAGCAGCTTGGCGCGTTCCTCCTTCTGCTTGGACATCTTGGGTCTTCGCTTATCGTCGTAGACCATCTCGAAGCGAGGCTCCAGTAGCCGCAAGGCCTTTGGCTTTTTGTCGGGCGGCGCCAGAGGCTTCATTTTCTGCTCCGCCACAGATTTCAATGTGGTCGTTGCCTCTGCACAATGTTCCTGCACATGCTCAGGATACAGATTCATGGGCAGCTGCTCGATCAGTGGCAAAAAGGGAGCAGCTAAATAGCAGGCACCTGTATGTTCGCCCATTTGCTCCTTAAATATTTGCTTGAGTAAGCACAAAGTTGAGTCCAGTGCGCGCACCTTAAAGTCGACGTCTATCGTCTGGGTAACCAGATCTGCAGGCTGCAGCTTTTGTGGCTGGAGGGCTTTAGTGTCGCTCGTCGCTGGAATGGCCAACAGCTTGCTGAAGGGTCCTTCTTGCTCGAATGGCGGCGCAATCTCCACCCGCTCCTGCTGCCGCTTGGGTATGGCCATGTGCACGATGCCCTGCAGGAAATTAAAAATGGCAGGAAGTAAACGCTTCGATCTCGAGCCGAACTCCAGTGCAATGGTGACTACGAACAGGCCCATGGCAATGTCTTGTCGCGTGCGCACGCGCGCTCTTGACAGCATATGCTGCATGAAAATGTACGTTGGCGTAGCCAGAGGATGTCGAAAGTCCGAGGTGGAATACAGATTGGAGACGATCTTAAAATAGATGAGTGTGTCCAGTGAGGGATATATTTTATGATTTTTCCGATACTCGGCGTATTTCTCCTTGATCAAATCCAACAATGTGTTCGACATGCGATCGATATTCAGGTGGACCAAATCATGCAGTTGGGGCATTAGCTGCGAAACCAATTTGAAATGCGAGCCAATGTCCAGCTCGCTGGCATCCTCGAACATGTCCTTAATGTAATGCAGCAAAAAGCCAAAGAGTTTGACAACATCTTCACGGTTCACGCCCTCCAGCTTGGGATGATTGCACTTGATGATGCGCTCGACAACTGTAACTTGCTGTGCCGGCGTATACTTGGCCAGCAGAGCAGCGAAGTCCTCGTACGTCTTGGGCATTTTTATCGTGTACGGTATGCTGGTCTCAACTGCTTCAGAAACTTTCGACTTTTGGAGTTTGCTTTTAGTTTTTTTGGGCTGTGGAGTTTGCTCTGACTCCGAGTCCGGCTCGCTGTCCGACGCTTTCAGATCGCTTAAGTTATCTGCCTCAGATTCGGAATCGCTATCACTTCCTTCTTCTTCTTCTTCATCGTCATCTTCTTCATCAGCCTCATCATCAGAGCCTTCGTCAGACTTGTCATTGCTCTGCCCCTTCGGATTCTCCTTTTTGCTATTCAGATGCGTGCCTAGATTGCCATCCAAATCGTATGCTAAGGTATCGTCGGCATCATCCTCAACGCCTGTGGCAAAGTAACCATCATCCAAATCATCAGCCGAACGATGAGGCTGTACATTTGTTTCCGGCTGTTCATCATCCGCTTTCATGCGACGCAAGCGTTCATTTTCGAGTTGCTCCAGGCGAGCCGCCTCTTGTTTTGCCAGTTCCTCCGGCGTAATCAGTTTGTCTGTGACACTGCCACGCGGTTCGAAAATCATCTCTTTTAACAACTTGTCATAGTCATCGGGCGGCGGCTTTGCGATCTGTTCATCCTTGGTGGCCTTTGCCACTAGCGACAATAAATCCTTGTAGTTGGCATCCAACTTCTCCGTCAAATCATGCACTTCATCTTTATCCTTTGCGATTTCGATTTTGCGACGTTTCTGCTCACTTATCATTTCCTCTATAGCCGTTTGACGATCTTGTGGGGCGTCCGCTCCTCCACCGAAATGAGCCGCAGAAGTGAACTCAGCTATAAGATTAAGGATACACGCAAACGATCACTAACGCGTTATTTATTTCTATAGCAAATATTTACCGTCTAGACCCTCATCCTCTAGCTCCTCATCATCGGAGCGCTCGTCTCTATACTTTTCAATTTCCTCCAGTGTTTGACCTCTGTGTGTAAGTAGCTCATCGTCGTTCAGGTTAAATTTCTGCGCCTTGTTTGAGGCGCGCACCTGAGACAATTTCTCAGCCAAGTATCGTGCATTCATTACAGATTCGGTCAGCTGCTCACCGCTGAGGTGTTTGCCAATGCGGTGGTCCCTAAATTTATTGGTTTTGTGCTTGACCTCATATTGCTTGCCGATTGTTTCGGCTCGCTTCTTTAACGCTTTAGCACGAGAAACGCCAGGTAAGCCTCGGTCATGTTTGCAAATCCGGCCCAAGATTTTAAACTTCTCTTTATTCACGTGTACATCGAACGGGTTTAAACGTTTAGAAGTTTGCGATATTGCAGTATCGAAGGGATTACTAGTCTTCCCTGCCTTTTTTGAGTATACCGCATCGGCGTTGGACTTTTTAGCTTTTACACCCATCTTTGTGTCTATTTTAAGCGAGTGAATGCATAAGGAGAATGAAAACAAACGCAATGCACGTGCGAATGAGATATCGATACGTTCACTCAAATATTCAACTACATCGATTAGGCCACATATATCGCATTCATCGATATTATTTTTACATCCCTATCAATAAAACATCCCTGCAATAATACGTACTTTCGTGTGTGAATTTTTCGGCGAAAACCAGCATCTACTCCTGAAGTAATTTATATGTTATAGTTTATAAAGCTGGAAATATAGTGAAAATACTTCAGTAAAAGAAGTAGCATCACAAATAAATATAATTCGATATTCGTTTAAAGTGTAGCATAGCAGAAATATTTCTTGCTTGCCACGCAATTCCGCGTTACATTTTTTGTTGCATTAGTATTGGTAAGAAGGCCGACACCGAATGTGCGTGCCGCACTGCAACCGTGGTTAAATATTTCAATTAATGTGAAGAAAAATTTGTGGCACATCGTGAAAATCGAGTTCAGAAAATGAGTGAAACGCCGCCAGAACTGCTGCAGCAGCAGGTGCCCGGCGGAGCTGGTAAAGAAAAAGAAGCCAACGGTGGGAATGAAAATGATTACCGAAGCCGGGATAAGGATCGTTCTCGTTCCAAAGATCGGAGCAGGGACAAGGACAAGGACAGAGAACGTGAGAAAAAGCGCAGGTTAGTGTATTTGAAAATGTCATAATTATAGTGTTTGCCATCACTTATATACTATTATCTATGCAGAGATCGTGATCGTAGCAGCAAAGATCGCGATAGTCGTCGCCGTGACAGCCGTGAGCGTGAGCGGGATCGAGAGTCC